CTATTTCCCATATATATATATATATATATATATATATATTTATATATATATATATATATAAATATATAATAGATATTTCTTGATTATATACGAATTGTAAGGTCTTCTAGTAATGTCTAAAGATTGACTGATTGATTGATGTTATAATATTCACCAGGCTTTTTAGACAAAAAAATAGATACCTTTTACTTTTTTTGAAAACTCGAATTTTTAGTAAGAGTATTTACAATATAACATAAGTTCAAGTAATCAGACCAGAGAATAAAAGAATCTCTTACAATAATCAAGTAAGCAGCCACAAGAAAATACTTATATAGCTGTATTTTATATCATTTCAACATTGTTTTCTGATCTATATATGGAATGAATGAGGCTTGACTAAACCAAGCCGAATTTAGGACATTCTTATGTAGAAATCAATGATAATCATATCAAATTGGATGAATTAAGCAAATATTTGTTTAAATTATCTTAAAAATATTTTTTATTGTTTGTTTGTTACGCTAAAACTACAGGTGTAATGACTGAAAGACTTTTTTATTTCTGTGATGAGAGCGTATCATTGATACAATTAATAGCTAGCTATTTTTTAGCTTAATACCATTTATATCACAAATAACTAAAACAACAGTCTTTAAAGAAGGTTTTTTTGTATCACTTTGTTTTTTTCTTATGTAGTTTCATTTTCGCACTAATGTATATCTTTCACATTAAATTATAAAAATAATATATCAAAACGGTAAATAACTATTGTTATCATTAACATGAAAAAAATACAAATTTACAACGAAAAAAATAAATCCCAAATTTACTAATGAAATTTAACTTACATACCACACAGTTTATTATAATAATTCGTTTATTAAATATAAAAAATATACATATATATATATTTTTGAATCTTAAGGAAATTTCAAAACCGAAAATTTCGCGACGATGTTCCATGAACAGAGTTATGAAAACCAGGATACGAACAACAGCTAAATAATATGGAGACGGACTCTGAGATATTTTAATATTATATTGAATCCATTTTCTTAAAGAAGCCAACATTTTAATACACATCTTCTAATATTAACTTAAAATTTTTACTTACTAATGAAATATAAATTACTTATGTAAATTTTAAATTAGTATAAATAAAAGACAATTGTAATCAAAATGAAATAAACAGTTACATTACAGTTTCATTTGAAAAATCCGTTTCCATATTGACTTACCTCATAAACAACAGCTGGGATATCCCAAAGTTACTCTAACTTCATTCAAACGAACGCTTCACAAAACATCATTTGGATTTCAACCTTAATCCTATTATATACAGTTTTAATTCCCTTAATGTATATGTTCTCACTTAAAACGGTATTACTCAAAGCCTTAAAACGTTTTTAAGCTAAAACCTACTTTAATATTATCGTTTAAGGTTAAAATTTCATTGTGATGTTCCAGTGTAGGCTACAATACGGATCCAAAGTTTATGCAATTCTTATATTCTTATTATATAAGGTTTTGTCGGTTTATCGGTCATTACAGTTTGCAACGTTCAGTGCATTGAACGCGAAACACATTGAACGGTTTAAAAATATATATTAGGTGAGTTAATATTAATTTATGAACATTTTAAGGGATAGATAAAATTAAAAATAAGTATTGTAAGAGTTTTAAATTATTATATTTTTTTAATATCAATACCTTTTCAGTTTTTAATCGAAGTATCTTGTTTTTTTATATTTTTGTACTTTTAGAGTTCTCAAAATTACTTTGATTATTAAAATCCTGCCAAAAATATATTAATTAAGACGTACTCATACAAATGTTCTCAAAATTACTTTGATTATTAAAATCCTGCCAAAAATTTTATAGCTTCTAGCATCGATATAAGATATATATATAAAAAGATCTTTTACTTAAAAAAATATCTCTTTATCAAAAAAAGTCTAATAGCTATTTATAAAAAGAAAATTGATTGATTTTAAAATTAAACAATTTGTATATATTAAGCATTTTATTAATCAATTATAATAATAGCTATATACCAAAAAAGAATATTGCATTTGATATAATGTTGGTAAATATATCATTTTATTTCAAGAAAAACTGCGTGAAAAAAAACATTGTCATTCAATAATTACACGCCAAATTTATTTTAATAACTTAATTTATTTTAATTCCGTTAAAGTTCATGGTAGTTGAAAATAGAGAAAGGCACCATCCTATGAGTCATAGACGTAAAATGACGTCATCGTTACGTAAAATAGGATTTCCGTACAATCCTAACTGACCTCAAAGTGATGTAACTTTGATATCAAGTTTAATACACGTAATTTGCACTTACAATCTCTGTTAAGCTTCTGATAGTCTTAATTCCAATACGTGGTAACTGCGAAATTATGCAATTGCTAGTATTATCGCAAAAGGAACCAATTCAGACTTATATTATACAATATAAATATATATGTATATTACGTATAATATATGTTTTGCTGTTAGAGAATTGTATCGTCAACTTGAGGCTTCCTTTTCATTAATCTTCAACAATGTGAAGGTTTTGGAAGGAAAAATTGCTCCACGGATCGTGTTCAGTGTGACAATACAAAGATTCGAGATCACAAATAAACCATATTTTTTTTTATAATTTTATCCCTCAGTTTCACTTTGGTAGAGTTATAAATAGATATGTTGATAATAAAACAACTGTTTTGACTAAAACCATACGAACACTTCAAAAAATAATCCTTTTCTTTAAAAGTTTTAACAAAATAGTTTCATTTCAATTCATTTAACGGAACCAAAGAACCAAAAAAGAAACGACCTATTTTAAATGCAAGAAGTTCTTTCTATGTTAAATAGTCGTTTAAAATATTTCAAAGAAAGTCACTTGAGACTGAAATTGCCATCCTTTGCCTCTTACAAGTTTAGTATTGGTAAAAAAAGTAATATAGGTCACTAACTAGTATAGGTACTTATCAATCATAAAATAACATCTATATTTTTAAAAAATTTTTAGAAACTGAAACTATACTGCCGGTTTATTGACAAATGACATATCATTAAATAGCAATCATTTATTATTAAGCCGACATGTTTTTAGAACAAAAATACGCATGTACTTTCCAAATATATAATTACGTATCAAATCAAGCATTATTACAAGGGCTATCAAAATAAAATAAATACACGAATATAAACAAATAACAGTAGAAAAGTGCTTCGATTACACGTTTTTGGTTGGACATTTTTAGGAATGTCTTTGTGACAGGCTTTTACTGTCATGAACATTTGTTACGTCGCCAACTATTTCCTTTTTTTCCAGAATCAGATGAAAATAACGAGAATAGATTGACAGTCCAGAAAATGTTACAAAGCTATAAATTTGATCATTTTAGTAATGTCAAAGAAGTTTTATATTACACATAGAAATATTGATCATTTTATAGGTAAAAATTCAATACAAAAACTAAATCAAGTAGCATATTTTGTTCTGATGGAAAATAATGTAGTCCCATATTGATTTCTCGTAATGTTGGCGAAATAAATCTTCCTTTGAAAGCCAAATTTAAGCGTATAGTCATTAATTATATTGTGATTTATTATTTGCGCTCTTTAGAATATTGTAGTACATTTTTTCTTTCACAGAAAATTCTATATTATTATTTAACAGAATATTATTATGTGTTTTCATTTTGACTCTGAAGTAATAATTCATTTATTCTAAAGTATAACATTTTTAATATAAACAAATAAAAATCATCTCATCAAAATCGTCGTCTTGAATAATATTTTCGAAAAATAAATTTAATTATACGAATAAAAGCATCTTTATTTCCTAGCTTCGTTATAAAAAGTAAATGTAATCGAATATAATTTCATTTTGAATATGATTGTTTGAAAAAAATGTGGCAAACTTTGTATTCAAAGAGCGTTCGGACTTAATAATGGTTCCTTACCGTTAGTCAAAGAATAAAAATATAAGAAGTCCTATCGCAATATTTGTTGTGACAAATTATTGAAGATTTTTATAATATCAAGAAATAGTTACATTGTTATAAAATTACGAAAAATTTAAAGAAAGAACACTAATATTATTTGAGGTCGAACCTTAGATATCAATTTCTTTTCTGTATAAAAATTGACAAAATGAGCTTTTACATAAATTATACATATGTACATATAAAATTTAATTATTAGAAGTGGTTTAAATTTGTTTACATATTTAAAATAACAATTTATTTCAATTTTATACATTATAAATATACTAATTATATATCTGTATATCGATTCTGTGTTAGTAAGCGAATCGACGCACGCGCAGTCACTGACGACCACTCATGCCTCTCGCTCGCACGCACTTTCCTAATACTTTTCACCCAGACAACGTTTTGCCGCGCAAGTAAACTAAAGTGAAATTTGTTATTATCAATAGCAATAGTGTTTGTATTGACTTTAAGGAACATCTTTTGATATGTTTCCATGGTATGCTTATCTTGTAATACTTCATTTTTTTTGATTACTCTCACATTAGGAAGACATCTTATTATTATATTATGGATATTAATTAATTATACAGGTTCCTAATTGAATATATCTATTAAGATGTCGTCACGAGTAAATAAGTCATAAGAATTGATTAATTTTATATCAAAACATAATAGTCTTAATGATTAATTTCGATCAAACCTTACATTTGTAATGCAATTTACATTTATCGGTATCACCATTCGAAAGTGCTTTGGTAAAAGTAGGAAATGCCAGTATTAGACATTACTGGAAACATTAAACCGTGTAACTATTTCTTATATTATTCATTTACTTCATTTGGTTTTTCTTCTTTATGTAATAAAATAACATTTTGTGCATCTAATTCATATTTTATCTATATTTCAAAATTTTCTTTAAATCAGTGTTACCAATTGAGGGTAGAAAGAAATCTAGAATCATGTAACATTTCAAAATATATTTTATTTGATTGATATTTTTTTTTTACCAGGATATCATAAATAATGCTTAACCGAGCGCGATGGTTGATGATAGCTATATCAGCGGTATTGACGCTGCAGTCAAGAGGAGAAGGTGGCATACGTCTGCCTGACCAGCCGCCCAAAGAGGAAACTGAAGGGAGATCTTTGAATTTTGTCAATGATGGAGACAGGGGCAGATCGGTAAACATCATTCTTAAAAATAAATCTTTTATCACTTAGGAACGGGATAGTATCCTAAAAGGAGATTTATTTTTATGATTTCTTTAAATACTTTATAAATAACTGATTAAAATTCAAATATAACTATAGGGTCGACATAAGCAGTCTTTAATGTAGTGAGAAATGACTAGATTTATAAAAGTTCCAGTATGGGCTGTCAATTTTAATTTAAATTAAAGTAATGTGATGTAAGATTTTCACGAGTTTTATTTTCGGATTTTACTACGTGACTTTATTTTTGTCCTAAACTATATAGTCCTGACGGAAAAGTAGCTTGCAAAGTAGTAGTAAAAAGAAAATTAAAGTGATTCTCCGTTTTATTACAGCCCCAAGCTCAAGGTCGTGGTCTTTTAGACTGGATAGGTCTAGGAGAAGACCAGGATCCTTATATCCAGCAAGCAACCCAACAATGCATCAGTGGAGATCTGGCAGATTGTTTTAAAGCACAAGCCCTGAGATCCTTCGACGACTTCTTTGATAAACAGGCCTACGAGTAAGTTTATTTTTAAGTATGTTCTAGCATTTATCTCGAAAAGAAAATGATGAAAATAAAAAAAAACATGCTTGCCATCATTAAGACTTAAAACCCACATTTAAGTAACTTATCACTCGCAAGTATTTATTTAAATGAAATTAATATTTTCGAATTGCTATTCGTTATTTTATTTTAAGAGTTACATCTCGTCTGCCCGTGATCACGGTTGCTGCAAAGTGACCAAAACATCTTGAGTATATTATAGTTCTTAAAAATAATAAAACAACGCGTAGTATGCGAAAATATTATTGTCATTTAAACTTACCATAGCAATGTCAATAATATGTTCTTTAAATAAATTACTTGTGTAATAATTTCAGACTATCAGAGAATGCGATTTTAAGAAAAGTGGATTCTCAAGCAAGAGCATTAGCTCATGAACCACCACAACTTGGTTCACAGCCTCGTAGTGACGATTCTGACTGGGATGGGCTCGTGAAATATGGATTACGAAAGATTGAGAGGTATGTCAATATATTGGTTGGATTTTTTATGAAATACAATGCCATAATAGGACCATTTTAACATAGATGACCTTAAGGCTCAAGTATTTTTGGGAAAAAAAATGTAAATATTTTGTAAATTTAATACAAACAAGAAATTATGTTATGGCTCTATTCTATTTATTTTAGAAAAAAGCTACAGATTCTATAGAAGGATTAAAAAAATATATATATATAAATATCCTTAAGTCAATTCAAAAAAAAGACACTTTTTTGAGTAACTATAACTAGACTATATCATCCAGTGGAGAATTATCTTAATTATGTGAATGAAATGTTGAACATATATTTTCGAAGTTATTAAATTTATCATTATGAGTACAAAGTTAATAAATACAATACATCATTATATATTAATATAAATTTATACAAACATATTTTATACGACATTTAATTATGTCGAAAAAGAATACATAAAGATAGATATTTATCAAAAAGTGCTATACTTCTTGCATTCAATTCAAAAATAATATTTATGTTATTAACTATAATGTAATAACATTAATTTTTATCGACCAATTTTAATAAAAATCCTCTTAATTCCTATCATCTCCGTCTTAAATAACTTAATGCAACAGAGAAATGCTGTCAGAAAGATATCACGTCCAAAGCTTTGTTGTTTACGTCAAACTAAGCCAACACACACATCTAATTACGTAGGATGTTAGGCGGAATTACTTCATTAAGGCCTATTTATACAATATATCATGACACATTGTGCTTGTGTATTTCCCATTGTTAAATTTACTTTAAATTGGATTCAGTTGGAAATGTACTTACACCTTTCTCTATAGATACAAGTACGTAATGTTCAATGTATGTGATTTACATACGTAAATAAAATTTAATTTATGTTAATTAATTTCTTTCATATTATTAATTATATAATACAATTAAGCGCATTCATATTGTGACGTAATATGAATTTGAATTCATATAAAAAATGTAAGCATACTAAAGTATACGTAATGCAAATGATTAAGATAATTTTATTATATCAAATGTATGTACTTTCCAGATTCTTACGATCAACTGCAATGGAACTGCAATTAGATGATGATGTGACTTCCAATGGCGTAATAGCGCCAAGATTCCTCGACGACATAGCTGATGAAGTTGACATAATCGAGGATAAAAAGGCTCCACCATTCCGTAAGTTTTTATTCATGCTCCTAGAAATATTATAGCTTAAAGACTTAATCGTCTAACAAATATCTCCACTTAATCGGTTATCAGAGATTAGATCATTTTGTTATGAGAAAAATAGATTTTCAACGTTCATGAGTAGTAACTTGTGGAGATTAGAAAAATAAATTGGATCGTAATAGTACGATATATAGATATGACCTCAAGTACATAAGTATATAATATGATGTAAGTATGAATCTTTTTTGCGAATTTACAATTTCCTTTCGTATTTAGTGTCGTATTGAGATGTCATATCTAAGGAGAAGTTATACAACTTATAACTCAAATATAAGACTCGTCTTCTATCTAAGATGTTTTTTAAGTAGTTTTATTTATTTCCAGGTCGCCACAAACTCAAGAAGCTCATCATTCCTATGTTGTTGATACTTAAATTGTTCAAACTCAAGCTTCTATTGTTCCTGCCACTTATTCTCGGACTCGCTAGCTTCAAAAAATTCTTAGGATTCATGGCTCTTATCGTTCCAGGTAAACTAAATATTTATAATATTTAAATTGTTTTTTATTGTATTTGTCTACATTGTTATATATTCCTTGAAAATTTTATCGTCTAAATTTAACTATAATTGATCATAATATATTTTGGTAACTTCAGACAGGACTGGAAACATTTGAAAATGTCATTTTATACATCGAGAAATATTACTTTGTTCGTTATTACAGTAGAGAATTATTATTTTTTTATTAAACTTCTTTATATAACTGTTAATAAACTGTTCTTAAAATTTGATTAACTAGTTCTCTAGAGAAAAAAAAATTAATTACAGAAATTCTTACAATTACTCAGTAAACGTGAGTAAGAAATAAAAACACTACACAAAATGATTAAACGAGGTAAACTAGGAAAAAGGTTCAAATGTTTTTAACAATTTCATTTCCCGCAGGTGTAATTGGTTACTTCAAGTTCTGCAAACCAAATTTATCATCCCCGTTCTCATCAAACCACTACAACGGACCTCAGTATTCACCAGCCGGCATCGGTTTAAGTCCTTATAGAGAAACACACGGACCCGCACAATATGGGTCACATTACGATGGTTATGCGGTATGTCATAATATCTAAAATTTACTCACGCTTTCTTCAAAAAGAATACATTATTTTGGCATCACAGTTTTTTTTCTAACTGGCAATTTCACAGCTTTAGCCAGGGTCTGTCTTACATGTTGTGAACAGTTTTTGCTAATTGTTTTTACGACCGGCCGCCTGCCTGACATCAACCCTCTTTGGGAATGCATCAAACCAGTGATGTCTAAATACTTTTTTAGAAAGTACATATGACTCGGAAAAATCAAATTGGTACTTGCCCGGGCCAGGATCGAACCCGCGCCCTCGTGCATGAGAGTCGGGCTTTTTAACCACTAGGCCACCACTGAGTTATTAAAGCTTAATTTAATTAAAATGTTTGTGTTCTTTATAGGGTTCGCATTATAATAAATACGGTTCAAATGGAGTAGCCTTCAGAGAACATGACGTCACTCCCCAAGATCTAGCATACCAAGGATGGGAGTATAGAAACAAGAATGGCGCTGACATCAAAGCTGAAGAGGCCTAAGACTGATTTCAAGAAATATAAAATACAACTAACTTTATTTAACTTAAGAGTTTTAAACTTGAAGGATTTAAAATCTTTTTGCTTTAAATACGTATGCTTTGATACAATCTAGAACTTTCGTTCTCTCTTTCGTAATTTTTATCATCGTTCCAATGTTATTTAGAACGATATTTGTAAACTTTATAAGTTTTTGTAAATAGAATCTATTTAATATAAGATTTTTTTGTATATTTAAAATGACATCATTGTTGTTAGTAAATTGATATATAATAAATGCTTATTTTATTGTAAAATAAATTTATATTTCTAACAACTATATTCAAATTAGTCCTAAAACCATATTTCAGTGGAACATCTGAGCAAATTGTGACAAAGTTTTGTAACGCAAATTATTTCTGACAAAGTTTAATTCTATAATAATTGATGGCAGTTGAATATAACTGGACCTTTTCTAACAATTACAGTAGCTTATAAATTTAATTTTATTTCATTTTTTAACAAGAACTAATCGATCTTCAATCACCAATGCTTCTGAACGTTTGCCTGAATAATATTATAATCTTTTTCTTTGCTCAGGAACTTGATTTCGTCTAAATCTTTAAGTATATATACATCGTCTCTCTCTAATTGTCTCCGAAATCTGTTATGTCCGTCTTTTCTGTTCTGAAATTTGTGAAACGGCATTGGATATCTTGCAAATTTGGGGCTCTTTCTTGGTTTTTTCCTTGAATTAGAATCTGTTGTTACTTCCTCTTTCCTAGGACTATATCCTTCGTTGCTGTCTTGCTCTAAGTATTTAATGGGAGGATTTGTTGGCGACCTCGTTGCAGGATTCACGTATATCTTTCTACTTCTATTCTTTCCTTTCTTAATTATCTTCTGTATAGTACGTTTTGGTACCTTTTTTATTTTCTTCTTTTTGGGATCTTCATATATATTCTTTGGTATCCGAAGCTGATTTTCGTCTCTTTCGAAGTAGGTTTTATTAACAGATACCTGAAATCATTTTACATCATTAAACATACTTGTGGCTTTATAAATTTTTCAAAGAATATTTTGTCTTAATGTTTTTGTTTTTCAACAAAATTTATCAATAATAATTCAATCTTATGTTATGTTACCAGGAGTAGATATACGAACATATTTCTTTTTAGTACGATAAAAACAAACATTATAACAACACTACCATCCATATCTGAATTTCAGAAATAGTAATAAAATTTAGCTAGTTTTTGATTATCACATTTTATAAAGCTTTCTCGCATAAATTAGTAGTTGAAAAGCGAGTTTTATTAAAAATTGCTTAACTAAACATATTATGAAATCTTTCGTGTGGACGTTATGAAAATTAATATATATTGCATCCAACAGAAACAGTGGTAGCATTTAAATAAAATAAATATCAAACAAAAATAATGTTTTGATTCATAGTAACAAATTCATAGCCTTTTAATAAAAACGGTTTAAATGCGATGAAAATTACTTTTTACTTTATTTGGCTACTATAATTTACTCACTTGATTGTTTGTTATAGCAGCAAAAAAACCTAGAGCCCCTATATTGGATTTTTTCACACTTTTTGCCACATTTTTATTATAAGCTGATGTATCCTGTAATACAAATAAATCCAATGAAATTATATGAAAATTACATCGTTATTTTATCAAAAATGTACAATATTTTCTACCTGAAGAGAATCTGAAGCTAGTGTTAAATCAGTCACAATTAAAACGAATAATAAAAGAAACATAACTAGCTGGGAGGTTAAACTAGCGTTAAATGATTTCAATGTAAGTTGTAACATTTATAAACTATGAGGTTTATTACTTTATAATCCAAAACACTATTGTTTCAAATGCTCTTTCGTTGGTGTTTGAAAAAAGCATTGCTTATACTCCCTCTAGGATATTGTTTAAAATACTATTTGAAATGTATTAAAACATATGCCTTAATAGAATTAGGTATTTGTTTTAAAACATCAGTGTAATGTTTTGACTTTTTTGTAATTTAGTTTGATGTGTGATTATGAATGATTCCAATTTTATTAAACGCAACATGATATGACTTCAACTCCTTTTTAAATTACTACATATTTTTCAATATAAGAAAAAATATTAATAGGAACAATTTTATTTATTTATTTTTTTATGCAAAAGGGCAAAGGAGCAAATGGCCTACGAATTATAGTAGCTTGACCACAGCTAGGCTCTACCACTTCAAACCTCAATTATAATGGAAAGATCGACTAAATATAATTTACTTATGAAAGTAACTTTTGATAATATCTTAAAGAAGGATTAGTTAGACTTGAATTCTCGACAAAATAATAATAATGAAATAATAATACAATATTAAGTATTTATTCAGATGAAAAAGTTTTATTAAAGTCTCAATAAAATTTTGTTTCAAAAATCTTGTTTGCAAATAAAATCCTGGATGTCTCTAAAATCTCATACAAACTTTTCAAATATATTCCTCGGAAACCGATTTCAACTTACTTTTTGAAGAAATTTCTATTATGACATAAATTTCCCGATACAGAAGACTGTTTAAAAAGAACTTTAAAAAATTCTCAAGTACATATTCTCATACAAATATTACATATCGCGTGAAAACAAAAACATTATAAAAAATATAGGTATATGTATTTTGAAACCATTAAAAAACCTTGTTTTATTGACTTAATTAAATAGACGAAAGAGAACCAATTTATTTACTCTACTTAAAAACATGTTGAAATCTCTTGAAAGAATCGTAAAAGGAGCTTAATTTTTTGTATTTAATTTTACGTACAGTCCGGAATTATTTTAATTAACGAATAATTAATAAAGTCGGAAGAACGTGTAAATCGGAATTGTATTATTTTTTTTAATCATTTCTTTTCATTTCATATTTATCAACACCATTGTCTTTAAAAAACCGAAAAATAAAAACAATAAAATTCCATTGTGCTCTCAATCATTCGTGCTGTCGGAGAAAAGACCTAAATAAGTCTCAAAAAGTTATATTATATATAAAAAAAATGAATGATATCTTGTGGTATTTGTATTCATAAATTAAATTAAATAAATATTTAATATAAATCATTTAGAAAATAAAAATGTTATTTATCAAAAACTTTATAAATCATGTCTATTAAGGTGAAAGTGAATAAAAAGTAAAAATTATTGTGTTGTATAATTCCTAAATTGTCATAATAATAGCGAGTTGTTTTACAGATACACATTTTAATAATAATTTTGATAGAAGCAAAATGCTCAATAGTTTTCGATGAGCCTCTTCAAAATGCTTGGAACGTTACGGATTACTGTTCAGAAATTGGTGTATGCCAAGAAGGCAGTCATGTCATGTGTACAGATTATAATCCGGTAAGTCTGTTTGTATAATATATACATATTTATAAGCATATACATAAGATGTATATTGATCATAGATTAATTTGAATACTTCTCCTTCTACCTGGCAATTTCCCAGCTATAGCCAGGGTCCGCCTTACATGTTGTGAATAGTTTTGGCTATTTGTTTTTACGACCGGCCGACTGCCTGACATCAACCCTCTTTTTGGGAATCAACATTGATCAGTGATGTCTAAATAGTCTTAGAAAGTACATATGACTCGGAAAAATCACATTGATACTTGCCCGGGCCAGGATCGAACCCGCGCTCTCGGCAACGAGAGGCGGGCCCTTTAACCACTAGGCCACCACTGACTTAATTAATTTGAATACTAAACAGTTCTTACAAAGAATCTAGTTTCTATTATCAAATAGATCTAATACCCATAATTATTGGTGGGGCTCTCATTACCACTGCTAGTAGATTTTAAAGATCACAAGAGTATTCCTTCCTTGTGGTACAGCAGTCTTAATAAAATGTGGTTAATTTTCTAAGTCTTTGAATGAGAAAAATATATTTTGAAGTTGAGGGACTAATTTGAGAAAAACCTTACAGAAGGAAAACAATATAATGCCTGATATAAAGCTAAGAGAGCTTGAAAAGAGACGTCCTAACGCGTTTGTGCACTTTAGCATAAAATACAAAATGAATTTATGAAGCTCCTGCACCTAAAATGATATAGAGACTACATTTTGCACTGTCTTTTCGGTACAAATTACTGTAACATAGTTTCCTTTCAAAAATTTACTCGACTTAATTATTTTTATGTAAAGCCAAATAAGCTATGTCTTTTAAAGTTTTAAATAATTTTAGCTTACTTACGACTCTAATGTGAAATTATGGGTATTTTTTACTGACTTAATTTATTTATTTCATAGTAACAATCATTTCACAGACAGAAATGTAGGTAACATGTAAGAATTAGTACATTTTTTCAATATTGACCACTTTAAAGAACTAAAAAATGTGAGGTAACTATCGTATAACCAAAGTTTTTGCTCGCACGTTAATTTTTTAGTAATATACATATGTATAGCTGACAGGATCGAATTCCATTTCGCCCCATAGGCCATAAATGACCAGATATTTGAATTCATTAAATGTTATTTTCCTTTTCAATCAAATACGATTATATTCCGTCTGTTTTCTGGTTCTGAGCTATCTCCGCACCAATTTTCAACCATATCCCTAAAACAGTTCTCGAGTTTTAAATGTGTAATACTGTTATAGTGTAACTAACACTACTTTATTTTATATATTTAGATAGAAAGTAAATATATATCGAATATATAAATTTCATTACAACCTCTTAACTTCATTTCTCTCAGGTTAAAAAAACTCATCTGAGATACATCATCAACCAACAAACTAACCATTTTTTCTTTGAAACCATCTATTTCATTTGTTAACTCAAAAGCTATTTCAAATAATTATTGTTTCAGAACTATACAATGGGTCCAACATGCGCGGGTGTAGAAAATGCAACGATGACAGAAGATAATGCAGCACTCATACTGGATTTGATCAACAGGTACATTCAATACAATAGCTTCAATTAGCACAAAAGAATCCATTAATTCCATAGCATATTTAATGCATCTTATTTATAAGTTGAAGCTTAATTTGTGATTCATATTACATTAGTATAAGAAGCAGAGCAGCTCGTGGTCTGGCCATGGGCTATGAGAATGAATTACTCCCAAGAGGCTATGGAATGTACAGAGTCGTAAGCATTATATTAATTTGTATTGTCCTAAATAACAGCATCACTAAGTAGTCTGGCTTCTCTTGTAGAAGTTATACTACTGTAAAGTTACTTAATCGTCAGTTAAATAGATGTAATACACTAAGTTGTTTATAAGGATATATATGTCCTTATACTTTCGCAGTTACTGTATCATGTAAGAAGAATTCTTTGCTTTGTTTCAGGAATGGGATCCAGAATTGGCCACATTGGCTCAAGTGTGGGCTAATACATGTGTTTTAGAACGAGACAATTGTCGAGCAACCAGTTAGTTTTTCTAATAATCTCTTGATACATATATATGTATTTCAATATTTCTTTTCAACCACCTTTACAACATAAACGGGAAATATACAGGGTGACTGGTGAATTACTATCGATGCTTGAGGACGTGATATTTGACGATCATATATGACAAAATAAAAATTAATATAACATAAATATTGATAAACTTCTAAGTAAAGTTAACCAAAAGTTATGTAATTAATTACGCATCGTGTGAACACGTGAACATCGTGTGTGTTGTATCAGCACGCCGCCGCACTCGTCCACACTTGGAACACTTGGAACGTGTCCACACTTTATTTATTTATACGGAAATTTGGTCAAAAATTTAGTACCTATTTTTTTTACATAATTCGAATGAGAATCATGTACCGAGTATTCTCCTTAAATATTGATAGTAATTCACCAGTCACCCTGTATAATTAGTTATCTCAAAGATGATTTCTCTAATTTTGTACTTATTACAGAAAAATTCCCTGATCCCGGACAACAGGCTTCAATAGCTCGATTTGTAACAGACAAATGGATACCAATAAGTAAAACGAAAGATAAAACTTATAATGAATCATCTGGATTTAACTCACACAAAGTTATATATGGTATCAAATCATGCATAAGGTCGTGGTATAACACACACGAAGAAATCGATTCCGAGATAATAAAAGACAAAGCTGGAAATTGGTAAACACTTATTCAGTTTTAAAATACATTTTATCTTGATATCTTTTTTTGGCATATGTTACTTTGTCTACCAAAAAGCTACAACTGAAATAATTATGATGGTAATAAGGCTTAAAATACTGGTAATAAGATTAATAAAGGATGATGAATATAAATATATCTAGCATAAAAGTCACAGCTTCTAAAAGATTATTTGTATATAATTTTCTAAAATGATTAACTCGCAATTAAGCACTACCACAAAATCCCAACTAGAACACAAATTTAAGGGAAAAAATTTTAAATACACATGATAGATAGTAAATAAAATATCGTCTTTAATAATACATATTATGACGTCAGAGTTACACTAAGAAAGAGTACAAAAATGTATGCGTATAATGGTGTAAAGCATTACCCCTTTCTATTTTATGTCTTTCCAACATTTAATGGAAAAAGTTTGATATCATACAAAATAACAAAGTAGCAATGACTATATTTTACCAATTCTCTTAATGTACAGCCTAATATATCATAATTTGTTAAGTTCTTATGTTCAAATAACATGTACTATTGACTAAGCAGAACTGTATGTATAACTAAATTTTTGATCGCCATAGACAGAGCTTTAATTTCAATGTTAAATCTTTGTATATTACAGTATTGATACTGATGATAGAGTACAGTAAGATTATTGAATGAGAAACGGGAAATGTTTTTACGATGTGGCGATGCAAATTAATTCTAAGGGTAATAATAAAGTTATAAACAAAATAATAATCTATTACTTTGTTACAGGAATTACGAATTACTAAGAAATCCTTACCTTCAAATTGTTACCGGTCCACTAACACATATGGGTTGCGGCACCTCGGCTTTCACAGAATATCGATATTTAACAGAAACAACATACCTTCTCTATAATGTACGTACTTTAAAAAATCCTTTTTAATTGACTGTGTGCATGTATTTCATTATTCAAGATAATTCAACAAAAAAAAGTAACTACTAATAACAGTGCATACATCATATATGTATACATTTATATTTATTACCATATCTTAATGCTCCGTCTACCAAAATGTTGTTTTAGGTGACCATTTAAATTCCTTAAGAAATTTTGCTTGTTGCGTGAACGTCAGTCATTAAAATATATGATAGGATATAGTACAACAATAAAATAGTTACAATTGCTTTTCATTTTGTCATCTCTTTAGGTAATCCGTCTAGTATGCAATTTTTCTTCAAGAGTCTACGATGATCGTGGTATATATAACGTCACTCCTCCAACCACACCGGAGTTCACTTCTCAGTGTGGCTGTCCGCCAGGATATGACGAAGATTCCTGGTGTTTGTGCTTCAAAAGCGAAAAGAATAAAAGTAAGTATCGCTTATCATCTACAGAAGTCAAAGTAAGCATTGCATATCACCTATAGAAGTCAAAGAAAGTATTGCATATCATCTATAGAAATCATCTATTGCTGTCACGTAAATCTACCAACTATATAATTTATTCTATTGAGTATAAATTTAACGTCGTTGAAAGTCTTATCTTATTTAAATCTTCATATCCCTTTGTATTAAACTGGTTAAATTGATTAATAACTAATGATAGTTGACAAGAATGTGTACACTTAAAATTATCGAAGTGCGATATAATACGATGTTGATAACAGTTTGCCTTCGTAATTAAAACTTTACTTTCCAACCACTTAGCAAACTAAATCCCAAGTTTCAAGTGACATTCGGAAACCAGTAACTTTCATTATAACTTTAGACATCATATGAAGGTGTTGCGATGTCTTACTACAAAGAGATTTGGATTAATAACCAATAATATGTATAAGGGTTTTAAGTTAAAAAAATATAATTTTATGATAAAAAACAATAAAAAACATAAAAAAACAAGCTTTTCCGATGATGTTTCAGTATTAATGATGTTGAAAGTTAAATATTATATTATATATTGGAATTCAGTTACCTAGAAACACACTATAAATATTTAATATAAGAACATTTGTCATTTAAGCAAAACCTTGTCCAATTCATCATAATCAGAAGAAAACTTATCTAGCGGTTGTTCCAATATTCACTGTTGAAGATTATCCCGGACCATACAAGAGATCAAGGTCAGATAACTTTCCAAAATATATATTGTACGCAAATATTACTTTATCTTTAAAATTACAACAAAAGTTTATTATATTCTGCATTTCATTATAGAACTAATAAAACGAAGAATCTGTCATTAAAGAAAATTGTACATCAGCACACGAAAAGTAGGGTAAGTTTTGATTTTTATAAAGAAACCTAAATATTTTCTCATATGTACTTCCATGGTAATAGCTTTAAAATTTTATTTTAGCGTCATAATACTTATGGAGAAGTTGATCCTTTCTTAAATGTTTCAATTTACGGCTCACCAACCAGAAAAGTCAAGGATTATAGTGAAATAGATAAAATAAGAAAAGATGTTCCTCCGAGAAAGGACTTTTCTAAAACAAAACATATCCTATTCAACTATTTAAGCATGAGAAAAACGATAAATTTACGTAACAACACAATGAAAAAGATAGAAAATCAGTACAGAAGCTCTTTGCCAATAAAATATAATAATAAAAAGAATAACGTTTTTGAAAACAAATTACATAAGAAAGAAAAAACAGAAGCTAGCATCAAGATGCAAATAAAACCTACCAATACTGCTAGCAAATCGATACAAGAAGATGGAAATTTATTGAGATTAATACATAAATTAGAAAACGAAGCTAAACATATTAATTTAAATGAACACGACAGAAAGATTTTGAACAATGAAATTCGTGAATTATACAATGTAATCAAAAATACGTATTATGTTATGAGAGACAATAAAAAAATTTACATTGATATTGGGACTTTCTAAAAGAAATGAAATTTATACAAATGGTTTGAAAAATAAATACTTTAATAACAAAACTGAAGATATCAATGATATAACCATAAGAGAACTTCCTATGTCTTCAAAGAACTTCCAATATGGTACTAATTATAAAAACTCATTGTCCGATCATGAATTTCGAACACTTACATATCACTCTGGCAAACATGTACACAAAACTAACGAAAATATCAAAGATATGCGTGAAAATTCAAAATATGATGGACACGAATTATCACTGACAAAAAAGATGTATTATCAGAAAAGAATTAATGACATTAAAAGGAAACTTACTCTTAAATATAACTATCAAAATAAAAGCGTGAGTATCATAATTTTTATCACTTCAAATCAATATCACATCAGAATGTCTGAGTCTATGTCTAAGATACGATCGATCCTTTCAAATATTTTTCATTTCTATTGAATTATATTTTGAAGTTAAAAACATACTGTATATAACATGCATGTATCTCGTCTGGCAAGATATAGTATTTAAATTATACTAAATTTTATGTTGTTTTTTTTTCTACATTCTATCTTTAATACAAAATTGTCGTAATTGAACCTTTGACATGACTTAAATAAATAAAATTATTTTAGAGATTACATACACTGCAAATGCGACCTACACTGGAATCTACCGCTCTGCGATCGAGAAGAAATTATTCACCCCATAATAAAAGTAAGTACATAATTATTATTATTTAGACGTGTACACGAAACGATGCCATGTACTGATTTGCATGAAACATACGGATCGTAGTTTTCCGGTGGTATACCTACTCATATGCGTTAGACCTATGTTTATGCCATATACCTGCTTATATTATTTATACCTACATATATCCCGTATACCTCCAAATATCTCGTATATATATATCCCGTATATCTTCGTATATCCTGTTGGAATACCATATGAAGGAGAAACTGCAAACATTCTGTTTACCTTAGCGATACAGATTCGGATGAGGTAACATTTATCTCCTTATAACTTGTGTAACTTCTGAAGAGAGTGACATACAAAGGATACTTTTTATTTTATGTACGTTTATGTTTTGAAATATAATAAAATAAGCAAAACAAACTTTCCAGATCTGATTTTAGAAGGCTTTTTATTATAGTTTAGATATTCCTATTATAATTTTTTTTACATAGAAGATGACAGGTCACTATTTCTACTATAAAATTCAAGTTTCCTTATATTATCTCATAGAATAAAATGAAACAATGATTTTTAGAGTTACAAACAAATATGACAGACGCAAATACATCTATACAAATTCTTACCAGAATATATAAAATTGATTTACTTTGTTATTATATAAGCAATAGTATCAATTGCGAGGTTTGATGAAATTGACAACGTTATTCGAATACAAAATTTAATTTAAATCTTCTTCTATATATATAAAAATGGATTGCTGTTCCTTAGTCTCACTAAAACTCGAGAACGGCTGAACCGATTTGGCTAATTTTAGTCTTGAAATACTCCTGGAAGTCCGGGGAAGGTTTAAAAGGTGAGAAAAATTGGAAATATTTCCGGAAAAACCCTAAAAACAGCCCTTTTTTATTTCCCATACAAACCATTTTTTGACATTAGACTTGACAACTAACTAATACGTCAATCATTCTGTTCGATTGAAACAGGAAAAATTTAATAAATACCAATACCGGGTTATTGAAGACGGAATAGAGTTCGCCCGGTCAGCTACACCTATATTACTAATGACGAAACTAACGCGGACGAAGTCGCGGACAAAAACTAGTATGAAATAAATCTTAGAAAACTGAACTCAAAAGCAAATTAATATAAATATAATTATTTCGATGCAATAGCCTTGAATAACAATAAATATTCACAAACAGCTGTTTTTGGAGTCGACACTTAAATAATGAACTTACGAACTCTTGTACCTATAAAGTATAAGAGCAGACTTTATCATTAACAAATCATTATAATGAGCTCTATTTTATTATGTAACCACACAGTTAGTCTAACCATATGTAAGAGATTTATTTTGTAACTACACAGTCTAACCATATGTAAGAAAAAGTAGAATATGTATCCATAACTGCAATTTTTAGATGAAATAGCTAATTGTATTGTATTCTATTGTATCTGTAACGTATGAATATATAGCTATTCCTTTTTCTTTCAAACTTTCATAATTATTCTACCTCATGTATTTTAAGGTTCTCAAACGTTGCTGTCCTTGTACTATATTTCGTTACCCACATTATTTTAATTATCTTCAAGTTTTTGGACATACTTTAACCTGCATCGGCAATGTATTCCGTCAATTAAATAAGAGATATCTCTAGATTTTCTAACGTTTTTTCACTTTATCTGCGAATTTAAGGTGATATGATGCTGAATTATTTTCTCATAGCAAAATGTATTAAAGTTTTGCAACAGTACTGCCACTTTATATGATATACTATTTCTTAAACATGATTTTTCCTATACATATATGATCTATATATATTCTGTACTTGAAAACCCAGACCACGCATAGTGATGCGAAATGTTAAAACCAAGTAAAAATGTAAAATAAACGCCATACCTTATTTAACTTAACAAATGTACGTATAGAAAAATGGGGTGCTTTTTGTAAATAAAATAGTTTTTATAGCTAACCTTTATGCATTTCCTACATTATCAGAACTTTTAAAATTAAATAAGAATTAATGAGGAAATAACAATTTATTTCATTGCAAATTCTTAAATCTCTCTTCTTATAGCAAGATTCAATCGCACAAATTAAGTTAATTACATATTCCTATCTAGAACTCGATAGTTTTAAAATTAAAATAAACGTCTCATAGTAATAAAGTAACTATATTTGCAGAAATAATTACAACTACATATATTATGAATTTGAAATTTTGTTTTTATATGACGTATTTTTGTTCCTATTAAATCTTACTTAGTCAAGACTTTTCGATGTAGAAACGCCATTGTTTACCATCATTATTTACCAAAATAAACGTTCAATAGGAAACCATAAAATCCACGGACATTTATCGGCTAACCGTTTCCGTAACTCGCAGTGTTTTATAAACAGCTAAATTGTGTAAACAATCTTAAACAGTAAGAATTTAGTAAATTAATTCAACAAGCGCTATGGAACTTCTTATTTACGTTGTTTCATTCATCTGCATAGTTTTAAATATCACGATACATGAGGTGGGTAATTAAAATTTTATAATGTCTATGGTTAAACATCTTTACCATAAATAACTTTTTTTAGGCTGTCGCTAGCAAAGGTGTTGATTTACTTTTAGACAGATTATACAGAAGTGATGAAAAACGTCAAAAGGTATTTAATTTCCACCACAATAACTCATAAAACAGGTTTAATTTAATCTTTCAAAATCAAAACATGTGCTATTGATTTAATTTATTGTTCTTATTGTAGCAAACCCAATTACATTATAATAATGAATACGAAAAAGAAAGCATCGAGAAAGACAAAGCTGAATTCCCAATTTTCTTGAGAAGAAGAAATAAAAAGAAGCATCACAGCAATAACAATAACGATCTACTACCAAAAAGTTCTAGAAAGAATGAGAAAAGAAAAAAGATAAACTAAAAAACACAAACCAAAAGCCAAATATAACAAGAAATTCATTAAAACAACTTTAAAAGATATCGATAGAGATTCTAATATGTCTGGTTCAAAAGACGGTGATAACAAAAACAAACCTGTAGATATTATTGTTCATATTAAAATGAATGAATAGTATATGGAACTGTTTCTTTACTTCATTTATATATAAATTAATTGATAACATTTTATATACATTTGCCACAAAATTTTTGACAAATCACATTCTTCTTCTTCCTGGCAATTTCCCAGCTTTAGCCAGGGTCTGCCTTACATGTTGTGAATAGTTTTGGCTAATTGTTTTTACGACCGGCCGCCTACCTGACATCAACCCTCTTTGGGAATATTTTTGACAACTGACATTACCAGATTGTAATTCAAATAAAATAATTTTTATTTTGAAAACGGCTTTTTATTATAAAGCTTATGAAAAAAATTTAACTTTTTAAATTCTAGATGAATAAATTAATACTTTTCATTTGAGGGATAAATTGAAAAATTTAATCAACTTTTAATTTGCTATAATATTATTCATAATTGCTTTTTGACAAAATCTGTGTTTATTTTTTTCTTCAAATGTTGATGAAGTCTTGATTTCAGTATTGAAATCTTTTTTGGTAACGATTTTATATTTCTTAATTCCGGATGATTTTGTTGTAATTTTTGAAATACACGAAAGACAATTCCTTTTGCATCTAATCTCATATGATGATAATCCTGAAAATATTATAAGAAAATTATTCATGAGGCAAGGTACCAGAAAAAAATGGTTCATTTGTCTTTCGTATTCGGTCAAACGTATAAAAGTTAGGCATAATTACCTCTCTGTCTTGCATGTAATGACATTGTATGTGAGAAAATACTAGCAAACAAAGCAATATATGCGCCAACATTTCGTTAATAAATGCTAATTCTTAGAACGGAAACTATTGTTCTGATAACATTTAAGTTTAAACTGTAACCGGCTATCGCTCAAGAAAAGTGTTTATTTGTTTTTTCTTTTGTTCCAAGAAATCCAACTATAAAAATTAAGTATTAACACTATATGTACTAGAAGGCACTCATGACTTTATTTAAAGATAAAATTTATCAATACTTATAAATAAAATTGATGAGTCTGTTACTAATTTCGAAGCAATAGTTATTCAACTTAAAAATTTTTGTCTCTCCAACTTTTGTTGACTAATCTCATAAATTTTTGGTAAATTTTGATGAAAATACACAAATTAATCTGATGAGGAGTAACTTGGTCTAAATTTTTAACCGAATTCAAAAAAGAGGAGAGTTTTGATTTGAATAAATGTTACTCATATATATATAAGAAGGCAATTTAAGGCCAAATTATAAATTTAGTTTTTTAGTCCATATGGCGTAATTCTGAGGTAGTTCCCTTATAACCATATCAGGATCTGATTAAGGGATCTTCGTTAAAGTGCACGAAACCACATAATGATTTAGGTTTAAACTACAAGCAAAACCACCATAGATCAACCCAAAACCAAAAACCAGTTACATATAAAATATTTAATTCATGCCAATATAAAAAGTGTTATAAGTAATAAAAAATCTGTTATAGTTTTCGTTCTTCATTTTCCTTTGTAGATGCTAGTCGCTTGCCCGACCACGCCGACAGCAGGGCCCGCTTTGATGATTCCGTTACGAACATTCCTGCCTACTTTTTCCTGTAAGAAAAAGAAAATATTAATAATAATAATTTAATTCATTGAGTACATTTTTTTCATCTCCTTTTCAGAATCTATTTTATGCCTAGATTGAATTTTCTGAGACTATAACAAGAGTATCTTAACTTGCATGGTCATAAATTCTCAATTAATACAAGTTAGACTTTATTTCTATTTTATTTAGGATTATGGCTGCATTTCAAACAAACAATATTGTTAGAACTAAGATATAGCATTAGTCTTCTGACGATTGGTTATTTTTATCGTTTTTATCTGCCGCATCGTATTTTCTTTTAGGATATAAATGTTAACTTTGTAAAAACGTAATGACTTTAAAGTATGTAATCTACTGAATTTATTTAATTATTAACTACACACTAGCCCGTATCCAACTTTTATAGCATTGACTTCCTCAGTATTTGAGGAAGCTTCTTAGTTTATTGGCATAAAGCAAGTCCAATTTTTTTTCTGATGACTTTGAAATATCGTTAAATTGGTTTAATTTTTTTTAGTTCAACTCAAAGATACAAACAAAGTAAATGTACCGTATATAATATAGAAAAATTATTACTACAATATAAATAATACATATAGTATCAGTATATATGAATAGTACTAGTTATTAGTAAGTAATGTATGAAATTTTCACACATTTAATATACTTACAATCTTCTTGAAGAACTTCCACCTGGGACTTGGAGCGGCTGAAGCACCAGACAGCGCCATCACGACCAAAGCCACAAAGAACAAGACACGGAAGAAATTCATTGTCGAATTCAATAACAATACTACAAGTTGGTTGAAACAACTGCTTTTTATATAGTATTTAACGTAGCAATATTTATTTTACAGAATTATAGCGAGACATTGTATTTAAAACCGTATAATTATAATATTAGAGTTTATTTTTCTGTTTTTCACATTTTCTAGGGAATCTCCCCGGTTCAATGAAATGATTAATCCTAGAGATTATTTAAAAGAGGACTCTTCATGAAAGTGATTATTATTTTTACTGAAGATTCTTGTTAATTTCGTTTTAACTCTCCGTTATAATCATTTCCATGGAACGGGGTAAAAATAACAGAATGAATATTTTTTAAATCCTCTCTAAATATTATCTAAGGGAACATGATGGAAAAAATTATACAATAAATTTAAAAATAATATGCGTAATTAATATAATTGTTATTGTAAGTATAATATTTATTAGTAATAAAGAAAACTACTTGTACATTACAAGGATTCATAATATTTTATCTTTTTCTTATCAGTGACTAGTTCTGTACTAGGCTAATTAACGAGTTGAGGTTTTCGTGTTAATTATTTATTTTTTTGACATAATTTCATGTAATACTTATAAAGATATATCTTGTTCTCGGTAAATAAACATAGATAAGATTTAAACATTGTTATTTTAAGCCTTCTATTTGTGAATCTCCATTTAAATCGCCATTACAGAAATGCCTTCAAAATTTCAAACTCCTTTCAAAGTCAAATAGATGTTATGAGAAAATAAAACAAAATATTTTATAACTTAAATAATTATATATTGTTATTAACTCATATTATTAATTACATCCAATGTCTTATTTAGTTTTTGTATAAAAAAGTAACAAACATAACTCATTTACCAACTTCTATGCTTAAAATACTGGAATAATTATTGAATTTAGTATTAATCGTCAGAGTATTATATAGATAGAATTCTCAATACATTGTTTAGCTGATATAAAAAAAAATATTTCGTGTCCATGTTTTCAGACAAAAATATCCAATTATTAATTGTCCTATCTATAAAACAGCCATACTAGCAAATTTTCATTAATTACAAATTTTCTCATGTATTTAAATTATCGATAATATCTAATAAGCGATATAATTTAAGCGATACTTTAAGATCTCCAGTTAATAAAATTCATAACGATCTATTACCCAAAGGTATTAAACCATCGACATCGCGCGTCAAATTACAACCCTTTTATACTTCAGGGGATTATAATTAAATTTAAATATTTGCTATATTTTTTGGTATTTTATTACAGTCGTTTATTTGTTTATTTTAATGATTTCCTTGTATCTAAAATCCGTGTAAGAATCTAGCTCTGTTAGGCATGTAGAGTTCCATTTCTTTTGGTCTATTGTGACCCAAATTTTGATGCTTGGATGGACGAACAGGTCTTATATGACGATCTCCAGAAACCTGAAAGCATTTTATCATAAGTAACAAGATTCTTGTTGTTCTTGCAAAAAAAGTGTAACAGAACCAAAGACAGTTTAGCTTAAAATTCAATATTAGTTTGATAGTCGTAAAATCATCCAACAAATAAAAACGGTGATATTAGCGAAATATTCCACTTTTCTAATGCGTATGAAGCCATAGAAAAAATAAATAAAAGACATACGAAATTCTGCCGTTTGTGTTTTTTCATCAAACTGATTTTTCTCTGAAGATTACTCAGCTTATCGTAGTAATGCCTTCGTCTATCTGAATCAAGTGAATTATAATCCTCCAAGTCACTCTTAAAATAATCCTCGTTCCTAATTTTTCCCTTCGACAAAGCGTTCAAACGTGATTTCTTCCTTAAATACATATCACTCAATTCTCTTTCATCAAAATCAAAATTATACAAAGGTTTATGATAGGGAAATTTATTGGATTTCTTGAAAATTGTATCTTTTTGGTCCCCATTTATGTTTTCTTTTTGTTTTTTATAAGATTTTTCATTAATCGTTCTATCTTCTAATTGGGAATACGTATATGCGTTGGGTTTGGAACTATCTGACCAAAAATTACGTCCATTCATATCATTCTCTACCAGATTATTATTTACATTATCATCAAAGGACAGATTTGTACTAGGTACAACAATTTTCGGTTCTACAAAGACTGGTTTTTTGATTAAGGTTCCGTATATTTTACGTATTTTTTCATCGAAAAATTCTTTTTCTTTTGTATTAAAATGTATGTTATTTACTTCTTCTTCCAGTTTATCTAATAAATCCATCAACATTTGGTCAGTATCTTCATTCAATGGCTTAAAATCTCCGTTTCTAGGCGCTTTTGTGGTATTTAAATCAAGGTGATTAAATTTCTTTTGTTTAAAACGATTTAAAGTATGCGGTGTGCTTGTAATTGTAACATTATATGAAGGTATTTCAGTAACTCTAGTAATAGTTAAGTTTTTTTTTCTATATTATATCGTAATTTAATCCCCGTTTTACGACCTTCTAAATATTTTGATACAAGCGTATGAACTTCTTTAAAATCTTTTCTTGGTGCAACATCTTTCTTATAACTATTAACTTTGTGACCGTAGTGTTTCAATCTGGAAGGCAGTTCAAAAACTGCCGCTTTCGCAAAAATGCTTTGTCTGGGTGTGTGTCTCTGAAAAGATATTTTTTACATATTACGAAGATATCAATATAAAATTGGTTACGTATACAAATATAATAATCATGTTTACTGTATGTACTCTTGAGAATCTTTTACTATTCTTGCTCCTAGAATATTTCTTTTATATTAATAGTTAAATTGTTATTAAATTCAGAATTACTTACTCTATAATGTTCGTTGTTTAGTCTAGATTGTTTCTTTCCGTTTCTCTCATTAAAGTATCTTTTTTTAACATTAACATTGATTCTTCTTGATTTTATTGTGCTTTAATAAAATAAATAAATACAAATTAGACACTTTTATCTTGGTACAATAATTTAAATAAAATATATACATACCTCTCCTGTTTTATTGGTTGTTTGTGATTTCTTTGGAATCTACTGTAGTCTTTAATATTTTTTCGCTGAGGAAAATAAAATTATTATTTATTATAGACATACACATATGTATTTTCGATATAGTTGTTATGTTAATAAATGTGTATATATTCTATGAAAAATATCTAATTGTTATTACTTTCTATTGATATTTTTTTTTTGTGATTGAGATCTTCGAAATATTAATACATATCTCAAATAAAAAACTTACTCTCTTTATCACGTCGTCAGGAACTACATTTGGTATGATTTGTGAACTTTTATTTTGCCTTAAAAAAATAAAAACCATGTAACACCAATCATATTAAAATAAACATAATATTACGTACAAAATCGTTTTACCCCGTAATGGGCGCATCTTCTACTGTGAAAATAGGTAAAACAACCACAGACGGTTTGCATCTACCACTTGTTTTACAGGAATAAGCTGCAAAAGATAATATATTTTCATATGAAATTAAATTAGGCAAAAAGAGTACAAAAATCTGTGAATATAAATGTAGAGACTTACGCAATTCCCGTTCGGATTCATAGCACAAACAATCTTCATCCTCATCAAATCCCAGCGGACATCCGCATTTCACTGTATACCCGGGTTCCGTAGGCGGCTTTATCTGATACACGGACTCATCCACTCGAGGTTGATGTGAAAAGTTGCAAACTAGTTGTATCGACTGAAAGTCAGATCATTACAAATGAAATTTAACAGCAAATTTCTAGTTATACTCTTTATAATTATAATAAGAAAGACATACATACATTATAGTTTAGAGCGGCGTTGTTATTGTTGTAGGCATATTCCCTGTATGCGGATATTCCGCAACCTACATGCGTGCTGGGACCACTCACTAGTTGGACAAACTGATTATGCCTTGCATAGCTCCTGGAATATTTTTTATTACAAACATATGTTAACCTTTCTGAACAATATAAACCATTCAAAGTGACACCTTATTTGAGAAGCAAACGAAGATTTTAGTGAGAATAAAGGACGATCCAGTAGAATACAAAAAATTACTTCAATACTGTTTCATTATTCCCTATCTTTTTCAGGATATAAGTTAATTGTATTTAAATAATGATGAATGATAATAATTATATCATATAAATACATAATAGTAATACTAAGAGTTTATTTAAATATAATACATAGGTGAAATACATAGACAAGAACTATAATATCTCATACACACTTATACATAACACACATATGTATATATCTATCTACCAATATTACAGTATGTATAATTATTGTTTAAAAGGGCGCACTCTCATCTTAAAACGAATTTCATCTCTTAAGTATAAATACGAAACGCTATAAAATGGTAATAATGTCCATTGTAAGTTATTAAAGTGTGAGTAGAATGGAAATTGACAGCGATGTTTTGTAAAAACATGTCTTTCACGCAACACTGATGATTCCATTAGAAACTTTCACAGTTAAACAACGATTTAGATTGATAAATTTCTTTTAATAATATGTTATAAATAAGTATTCAACCGTTTTGTAAGATAATACGAAAAAGTTACAATTTAATGACATTTTATGACCAATTTTCAAGCAATTCGGTTTTTAACATTAAAGCGATGTTGAGCTTATATTGAAATTAAAATTAATTCTGAGAAATATATATATTTTTTAATACTATAAGAAATCAAAGATACAAACTCTTATATTTCTTGCCAGTTCCTTTACTATTTTCATGAAGCGATAGTTTAATCGTTAAAATAATTAATTAGAACGACATATTCAAGTATATATGGATTTCTGTCTGTATAACAATATAATACTGATTTAAATGAAACTAATATTTTTCGGATATACTACGCGTTCTTTATTTTTGTAAAAAACTACATACTCCCTACGTTTCGGTTACTTTTCAGCAACCGTGATCACGGGCAGACGAGATGTGAATGTCTGGTTGGTCTTGTCAACACGTAGATTATCCGAAAAACATTAGTTTCATTTAAATGAATACTTTAAAAAGTCTTTGATCTCATAATATACTCACTTAATATCGAAATAGTTTATAACATCTGGTAACACGTCATCTTTGGTCTCATACCAGGCTTTCAATATATATGTGACGGCGTATCTGACCTTATCAGGAGTGAGGGTCGTGGAATTGAAGGCACGAGCAGCATCTGGAGATATAGGCGTCCAAGTGTCTACAGTATAACGACTCATGCCAACCACTTGACCGGCAGTTGGAAATCTTCCTGATGAAGACGAAATTTTAAACTATAGTATTCAATAAAACTATGTATAATAGACTATCTCTTCGCCCGCAGCTTCGCCCTCTTGGAGTTCGGTTATATCGAGTTTCCAAGAGAACCTTTCAAAAGTCTGGGATAAAAAATATCCTATATTCTATCTCGAAGTCAACTCAACGTCTGTACAAAATTTCATTAAAATCAGTTCAGTGGTTTAGGCGTGAAAGCGTAACAGAGAGACAGACAGACAGAGTTACTTTCGCATTTATAATATTAGTAGGGATTTGTCATGTATGTATTGTGCTAAGTAGCAAACTGAATGACAGCAACAAATATAATAAAGTAATCTACCTACATTATATTTGACATCGTATTATTTTAACAATACCGAACAAGCATAACTAATACATAACAAATTTAATATTGATGGAAATAAATATTCTTAAATAACAAACGATATGTTTCAAACTTTATATATATGTAAAGAATTAAATAATCAATTTTATTTTTATGTAATAATCAATAAACATATGGCTTATGTTTAATATTCATGACCAAAATTACTTTTCCTACACTAAAAAAGTGCTAAATTTTTTAACCACACTAGTTAGCGTGAATAAAACCATAGACTATAATTAGTATTACAAATATTTATAACGATTTTATTTAAAATTAATTATTTGTATTTTTGGAATTTAAATTTTATAATAACGTCTTTTCAGTTGATATAATTAAGTTTTAATAATATTACAAAAAATCAATCCAAGATAAATTAAAAGGATTTTTTCAAGTCATTTGTAACTATAAGTAGTATTTAACTTTTTAATTTATTTCCAATACTCACTGGTTGAACGGCAAAGATCTAGACTTAATATGCACTGATGAGCCCAAACTTGGGCTAATGTAGCCAACTCTGAGTCCCAACTCTAAAATAGTAAAAAATATTTATATTATATCTGCGAATTCATATAATTTAAAGGTAATTCAAATTTAGCCTTTATTGTTTATACACATTTAAATGAAGCTAAGTTTTTCGTATACTACGCGTTTGTTATTTTTTTATATCTACTCAATTTATCGTCTGTCCGTGATCACGGTTGCTATAAAGGAACCGAAACGTCGGGATTACAAAATCCATAAAAAACAGTATCCCAAAAACTTAGAATAATTTCTTAGTTATCATAATGCAATTACATACCAGCCTATTCATTCCGTACGCCTTCGGAAGATCCACTCCATCTTCTCCTTTGCCCAAACCATTTGCAATCTTACTTCTTATTCTAGAAAACTTATTATATATAATATATTTATATAAAAATTTCAATAAAAAGATCATTAGATATTATATTTTCTACCTATTACATATATCGACGATCAATTGAGCGAAGTCTGGAGTCAAAGTTACATTTACTGAATGTACACAACCTGGCCCCACTTCGACATCCTTAAAAAAAAACATATCTATTACAGGCAATGTTTTTCCTTATAAGTTCCTAATATATAAAACCTTTTTATATTTATGATAATTAAGAAATAAAAGAAAACTTTAGTAACTTTTTCTATCTTTTCTTATCTTTAATTATATCTTACTGGGTTATAATGTAGGCACATAACATGGGTTCCATCTTGACACCCTGGGATGCTGGGGCAGTATTCAGAAACGATGACAGCTTCTTGATTGAATTGATCAAAGACCTCGGTTCCCAGAGAAAGACTTAATATTGTGAGAAAGTGAACCTGAGATAAATTAAAAAAAAATAAATGTATATTATATGAGATGAGATCTAAGATTTTCACGAGGTTTAGTCATTTAAATGAAACTGATATTTTGTTTCGCCAAAATAAAGTCGCTTAGTATAATCCGAAAAATATTAGTTTCATTTACATATAAATGAATCTAATATTTTCGGATTTTACTTCGCTTTTTTATTTTTGATTATAAACTACATACTTCCCACGTTTCGGCTACTTTTCCGCAATCGTACTGACGGGCAGACGAGATCTCGTATGTATATTAGTTTATAATCAAAAATAAAGAAGCGAAGTAAAATCCGAAAATATTAGTTTCATTTCAATGAGTACTCGCGAAAATCTTAGATCTCTTCATTTACATATATTTAACCAGTTTTTCTTGCTATTACTTTAAGCTGGATTAGTATTCATTGTTCAGTAATTCTTATACAAAATATAAATGCGCATTATTTTTTCGTTTTTAACATTTATATCTACTGAGATATTTTTAAATCTATATAAAAATATCACTGAATAATATTTATACAAACTTAAAATACTTACCACTTCCAACATGATTTTGACAACAAAATTTTATTAAAACGCAATAATTTTTATCACCCTATATAATACGCGTTATCATAACAATATAATTTTAATATTTATACTAAATGAGTAATTTTCTTTATATAAACTGTAAGTTATCATGTTCTTAGTGCAGCAAATATTTTTGTCATTAATTTATCACAGCCAATCATACGCGCTTCAGCTCAAAACAACAATGTTTTGGGTTTTCAATCGCAAGTCGTAAAAAGATTTAGAAATTGTGTTTACGTTCTGCTAATTTTAGTTTTTTTTTTTGAGCAAATAAAAAGGCGAAAGTTTGACTACATTCCACCATCAAATGTTTAATTAATATTTAAAGTTGATGAGATCTAAGACTTTCTCGAGTATTTGTAATGAGACTAATATTATTCGGATTACTACGCGTATTTTAACCGTGATCACGGTTGCTGTAAAGTACCTGAACGTCGGGAGTATGTAGTTTTAAAAAATAATAAAATACGCATAAAAAATAAAATCTGAAAAATATTTGTTTCATTTTAATACTTAGGGATGACTAAACAAATTTCAAATAATTAAAATTACTGTGTGTATAATAAACTAAAGTGAAAATGTTTATGAAGAAATTGTTTTGCATAACGAATAGCTAACAGTATCAAAGAATAGTTTTCATTGTAACTACTTCTAGACACGAACAGACGTTCCGGCGTTGTAAACGTTGAAAAACTTATTTCATTTACATCGAATTAAATAGTTTTACGCCAGCTAGTAACCAAATGGAGTCAGGAATTTTGGTTTTGGGTACATTTGGACTGTTTAAAATGCTTTGAAAATTGAAGATAATCTCATGCCAATAGATAGCATTGAACCTTTAATATAATAAGTGTTACTAGAGATTGAAAAGTCTACGTCTATTTTTATCATTGTATAGCTAGGAGTCAATACTTCAAGCATCAGGTATTTAATGGTAGTTACCAGTGCGGTATCAAAGGATTTTTTGCCTCGGACTTTGCGAGATAAACTACACGCTGAAGTATTCCCAAGTGTCCATTTGGCAAACTTAGACAAGTGTCAAGAACTTTGGGAAATGTAGACATTATATACAGTATAGGATTTTTCAAGGAAGTTGTGAATATGTTCTTGAAGTGTTGCCATTGCGAGAGTAATATCTATAGTATAATATTGCCCATAGACTACAGCGACTGCTTTAAATAGGCTTATTCTTTTATTTCTTAAAAGAATAGACTAATTTCAACTTTCAACTTCAATGTTCCTGTTTAAATATTCTCAACATTTCTTTTATTAGTACTTCATAACTTCTTAAAATCTTTGTAAATTTTTCTTTTGAAAGACCTAGTCGTGGTCTACCTATTTATGTAGACACTCATAAAATGGAATCCAGTTACTTCAATCGGAACCGACTAATGAAACTACCTTGTAATGAAAACTAATGAATTATTATCTTTAAATTATGTACGGAACCTTACTGAAGTTACCCATTCAGAGTTAAGAAAGATATATGTTCTTTTTTCTTAAATATCTCTATAATTTTAAATAAATCTTTCAGAATTCTTTAAAAAATAAACAAAGACAAACCAACGTGTAAAAATAAGTATGAATCTAAATTGATGTGTCAAAATGGCAACATCTAATTTCTATTAATAAAATGTCAAATGACAACAAAAGTTTACGATGCTGTCATAATATAAATTAAATCTTAAAAGATATAAATATTATTTGTAAGTAAGTATTACAGAAATTAAAAGTTTTAACTTGGTTTGAATCTTTCGAGTTTGTACAAACTTAATAAAACAGGTTTTACTTACAATCAAACACTTGGACTTGGTGAAACGTCAAAGTTTTAGCTAAATTGAAATGCAAATTATTTCAAGCAATTAGATCCTCTTGACCACCAATGAAGTTGCTTTGATCCTTAAACTTTTTAAACACTAACTTTTACCGAGCAATCGAGCTGAGATCAAGCGTGAACATTTTATAAATTATGCGCCTACTCAATTAAAATAGCAAAGTATGTTATGTGTTTTTGCTAAAATAAATTTGTAGGATGTCTCTTGTATGTTATTATTTCATATTATATCCTTTCAGTAATTTCTTTTTTGTATCTATAAACCTTATTTGATGTAGAAAGTTCATAGCTTCCACCATTAGGAAAAAGGCATTGACTACTTTATATTACAAATTTGCTCAGATTCTTTTACAGGCTCCAGAGATTATATGAATATGAAATATTTTTTAAAAGAACCAAAGGTGTGTGATAGAGACTTTCAGCGGGACTGATAAAAATGTAGGGTAAATATGTAGAAAGATAATTTTTATGGTGACAATTATATCCACACAAAAACTACCTAGTGACTAGATGGTAATTAATGGTTTATCGAACTCAACAACTACCTTTACTGTAACTTTACTTCTTACGTCAGTAGTTTTTGGCAATACTTATAATATGTCGTATAAAAATGATGAAAGAATATACGTAGAACTTTATCCAACATCCTATTTCCTGTAAAACCGATTATTATATTTTCCGGAAAAACAAAACATTACAAATTCAAACATCGGATAACTTGTTTAAATCTCATTATTTTTATAGCAAATAGAAGTGTTGTGAATATTTTAATCGTAAAAAAGAGATGTCATTTTATATGTGTCGAACAATTTTTATTGGGCCGCAAATAACGCCTTTGAATAAAAAGTTATATTACTTGTCGAAATTCATAGTTCTATCTAAATTGGAAATTCCCTAAATATTTTATATAAATTATAACCCTAATATTGCCTGTAGAAGTATATTTTTTATGATTGTTTTCCTAAGTTAATTTAGACGTTTTTTTGTTTAACTGTTTCTGAGACTCTAGATCCGATTTATATTTGAAAATGATTAAAATTTTATATTTTTTAAGTATGAGATTTATTGATATATAGAAAAATTAAAAGGGTGGCTTAACTTTTATAAAGTGCAACTACTGTAAAATTCTTGAGAACCCTAATAAAAATAGAAAAATATTTTTGATCCAATTTTTAAAAATGGAACGTCATTTTTACATCTATTTTTAAATAAGTAGAAATAAACACGCATATACGCTTGTCTGCTCAGAATCCACATGTTAATAAAGAAACAAAGAAATATTTCCATTCAATTGACTGTGAAAAGACGAAAAATAAACGCTTTCATAATTTAAATCAGAACTTCAATATCGAAAGCTCTTTCTTTCTGAACCATTTTGGTACGAGAGCTGGCAACGTCAAAAAAACAAGCATTTCAGGTAGGCTAGTTTTTAGATATGCTATCTCTCACACTCCCCTGGACGTCCTACGGGCTATCTGGCTGCCGGTAGTGGTTGCGTTCATCAGTGCGCATCGTACTTGTGGAGGTAAAAAATTAATATATCAAATCATTTTAAGAAGGTTTTTTTTATTATTATTATTATTATTGAACTATTCACAACATAAATTGATTATTGCCAGGTAGTTTTATTGTTGTTTAAACGGTGCCAAGCGGCAATTTTGAATTAAAAATTTATTTTTTTCAAACTATTTTAGTATAGCTGAAATTTTAATAGCATGATATTTAACTATCTAAAAGCTCAGAATTAATTTGCCAGGAAAAAAATCGGTTGTAAACTTTTGCCAGATCGAAATAAAGTGTAAAGAGATGTAGTATCATTTAGCTTGGTCTAGAAAATTAATCGTCTAATAAATGATGGAAGAAGGATTAACAACTATTGAATTTATTTATAGATGAATACGGTATAAAAATAATACTTTATTGTTGTACAAAATTGAGATAATGATCAATGTTAATTTTGGAAAAGCGCTCTGGCTACCGAAAGACTAACCGCTTCACGTATGATTTCTAAAACCCTATCGTATAATTTTGAAAAAAAGTTCCGTAATTTTGATCCATCAAGTCTACCACCGAGTAAAGCTGAGTTATATCAACACTTACTACGAGTTCGTTATGTCACAACGTTTTGGAGAAATGCTTATTTAAAATACCCAACATCTCTATCACCTCAAGCTTCTGGCTGGACCATTAATGATGATAAATATGATTTTATCTGGTTTGTTGGGGAGCAATTACCAACATTAGTTGCCGATATTATTATTAAAGGTAAAAATTTGAACTAAAATACAAAAAAAATATTTCTCGAAAGATATTAAAATTTTTGATTCTATTACAGATAACAGCTTATTACAAAATGATAATAATTTTAAGGACGATGATGACAATGGAAATGACAGCAGTGATGAAGATCAAACTTAGCATTGATCATTATCTCAATTTTGTACAACAATAAAGTATTATTTT